GTTGTGCGGAGATGCTACAAAAGAACAGTCATCTACTGAAGTTAAAATTCAGCAGATCCAAGGACAGCAGAGATCCCGTCCGTAGACGTCGCTACCGACCATCATCGACGCAAGGATTCGATCCCTTGAAGGCCGACCTTCTTGCCGACAGACTTTCTGACTTACATTACACAGACCATGTGTCACGGTTGCTTCATCTTGGCTGAACATTCAGATTACTTTAGTGCAGATATATAAAGGAGTTTTGGCAAGAAGAAATAACTGGACTCATCTTTTATCCATTTCTTACTCCATATCCGCCATCAATTGAATATACATGAATGTACTTGTCATTTGTACCTCAAATGACGAAGTGTTAATATAGTTCTGTACTGTTCTGTTCTAAACTTCAGCAATCCATGCTTGGTATTGCAAGATGTATCTAACGGGATCGCATGGTCAGACCCGCTGACTTGGTTGATGCATGCCGTATGTATCCAAATTGCGTAGATCGAGGCTCCTTGTCGGATGCCCTGATTGTCTGGTCCTGACTCAGATATTCTCAGATCACCGTCATTTTGCTACAATATTGCTGAGTTTGGCTTTAAAAAACGAACATGTGCACATAAGTAAAGTGACACTTACTACTTTATCTCATAATCATGATGTTGTCCTCTCTGTGTTTGTCCTTCTCCACCTGAAGCAACAATCAATGTACTCGTGCCTCCATCAGTGCAACAGAATTGACGTTTCAAAGAGATCAGCTTAAAGGCTGTCTCCCAAGCTATGCCATGACATTTAAGTTGGCAAGGAGCAGAGGGTTTGCTTTGCTTTATATATTTTGTGTATTCACTGACTGGCGATACTGTCATCATCTGCCAGTGCAGTGCAAAAAGTCCAAGCTGCAGCAAGGCCTGTGCACGAACTAAAAAGAGTAAGAAAGCCAAATGAATGTAATGGTATATTTTCCTACTGTAACATAACATAACAATTATGCAAAGAAAACAACGACATCATGGCGTATTTTTGCAATGAGTTCAACTAACATAGAGTGCACTGCAGACCGTTCTTCAAATACGTTTTTAGTTCATGTGCAGACGACACAGAAACAGCAGCAGACGTGTTGAAGGTCAGCGTAGGAGCTCTGGAGCCTTGGACTCGGGGACGTCTGCGTACCATCTTCCTGACAACACTTTTTCTGTGGATCGTTGTGTCTAGACGTGGTCGTTTGGCTGGAGATTCCTCATGGCAGACGTCCAGTGAGGTGAAGGAGATGTTGAGGACGTCCTGGAGCTTCTCTTGGACTTGTCGGTTCTTCTCCTGGATGGCCACGTCTCTCTTCCTCACGGAGGTCATCTTCTTCTGGATGCGATCAAGTCGGTCTTGAAGGATCTTGGAGCGAATGATGGTGTTTGGATTGGTGGCTATGGGCGACATGGGAGCGTTGCGAATGGCCTGGGCCCGTTGTCTGAGTTGACGATTCTTCTCCGCAAGCTCCTCATCTCTCTTCTTCAGTGGTCGTCGCCTCTGATTGAGCAGCGTCAGATGATCCTGTAGACCTTTGGTGCGAACAGTGGAGGTGGTGTTGAGAGCTGTTGTCAATTTCCTCTTGCGACAGCATTGACAGTCTGGGTTAGAGTCTCGATTATCCTGCAGCCAGTTGTGCACTTTTGTGGAGGAGAAAATATCATGGATCAGTTCGCGGTTCATTAAACTCATGATTAAGTCGAGATGATAACTTGGGAAATACCAGTGTGGATCAGAACAATCTGAATGTCTGAACACAGTTCACCATGAGAATATATACCCATCTCACGGCTATGAAAACAGCGCCTTCAGAGAGGTACATCAGCCTCATTTAGGTGAGGCCGAGTAATCAGCAATCACAGCATCCCGTGGAGATCAAATGATCACCAAATATTTGTTTTCACAACACAGGTTGAGTCTTTCCTGGACGGTGATTTGATGCTTTGAAGTTTTGTTTAAGACGAATGACCAGCACAATGCATGTTTGATTAAAATCGTGGACCTTTGTTCAAAATGTTGTTTGAAATCATATTGTGGTAGATGTTGTTATTCTGAAGCTTAAGGGAAACATTTTCCCGGGAAGCCAGTCGGTGATTGTGTGAATACGGTAACTATAACAATGAATGCGGCGTTTAACAAACAAACCATGTTATCGAGTGGATTAGAAAAATGTCTCAAAACATTAACATTCAGTAGGAAAGTTCATGATTACTTCCACTGTTATTATGAAGAACATAATATCAAAGTTGACAAAAGCTATGCATTTATGGCCTATATTTAATCATTTTAAATAAATTTGACCAAATTAGCATGAATACCAAATTTGCGGGGCATTTTGTAGCGGGGGCAGTTCCACTGGTACTTGTTGCTTTCATTGTTTTCCATTTTGTCCAATTACGCACGTCGGCATCAGACTCGCTATTTGTCAGTAGTGTGTGCCGTGAAAGTTGTTCTGTGTTCATATTGGCTGACAAGATGCCATTCTAAGGCTATGGCCGAGTACCATAACTATTTCCATAACCAAACACTGGGGAAACATACATTGTCCTGACAAGTATGTATTAATTCACCAGTTTTCGGGGAATAACTTATCTGCGTCGCGAATATTATCTCTGCTCGACCAGGCTGGGTTTTGTGTGGAGACTTGCTACGTGATAAATGAGTACTAGGATCCTAAAAAAAATTCAACAAAATAACTCCAGTGTAATTTTTGCAGCAGATAATTTCTATTTTCCCCCGTCTGAAGCATAATTATTGTGTTTTTAAATCCCAGACACCCTACAGTCACCCATTTGACAAAAAAGGAACTGCAATCACATTGCAAAAAATATAATTCTTAGGACCGGTCATATACTTATAGGGGTGGGTTTGCTGGTTGGAAGCGTATCACATTTTGCTGTCAAATAGTATTATTGTTAAATGATATGGTATATTTTTAAATTTATTTTGAACTCAAGCGGTGCCTCCGTTTCGATTGATTCTTCTTCTTCATTTTCACTGGAAGATTGTTTTGCAAGGTGTAAAATCGGATCGTATTGATACGGTCTAACATCCATTTCAGAAATGACATCAGGAACATCTTTTACTGCTTCAGAATCCATGGACACTGTTAAGTTGTGAGGTAAAATCAAAGCGGCAGCCATCAGCAACAGGCACATATGACGTCATGTCACATGATACCCCCTCTGCTCATTAACTGTCGGGTGTTTCCGTAAAAAGCGGAAATACGAGTACGTTTTTTGTGTGTTTATTGCTATTTTACCATTTTTTTCTCCAATTTTAATAACGGAAGGTGACTTTTATAATATCCTTTACAATATATCAAAAGTTTTGTTATCGTTCGGATTCTCCTTTAATGTTTGCTGGTCACCAACTGAACAAGTCTCGAGATCATACACAATATCGCCAACTGCATTGAGATGCGAGCCAGTATCAATACGGAACTGATCAGTGTGTCGATGCCAGCACGAGCGGGTCGTGCTGTTTTTTATTGATAGGTGTTTGGCAGGTGAAATGCCTTGTGAGTGAGTGAGTTGGGTTTTACGCCGCACTCAACAATATTCCAGCCACATGGCGGCGGTCTGTAAATAATCGGATCTGGACAGACAATCCAGTGATCAACAGCATGAACATCGATCTACGGAAGTAGGATGCGATGGCATGTGTCAACCCAGTCAGCGAGCCTGACCATCCGATCCCGTTAGTCGCCTCGTACGACAAGCATGGGTTACTGAAGGTTCATTCTAACCAGGACCTTCACGGGTGAAATGGCTTGTATTGCAACTGATTGCAGTCATTGTCAGTGAACAATGAGCATCTGAGAGAGCTGGGTCAAAGTCTGAAACACTAAATCGTGTATACGTGTATATTACTTTTACTTATTATTTTTTCCCATAATCTTTGTCAAGAATGTTAATATGTTCATATTTATTCACCCTTCTTATCTTCCCTAAGCACAGTTAGGGGTGCTGTCAGGGTTGTACCTTGTTTTCTTCCCTGGTCTGTTGCGAGTGAGTGAGTGAGAGAGTTTAGTTTTACGCCGCACTCAGCAATATTCCAGCTATATGGCGGCGGTCTGTAAATTATCGAGTCGGGACAAGACAATCCAGTGAACAACAGCATGAGCATCAACCTGCGTAACTGGGAACCGATGACATGTGTCAACCCAGTCAGCGAGCCTGACCACCCGATCCCGTTAGTCGCCTCTCACGACAAGCATGGGTTTACTGGAGATCAATATTCTAACCCGGACCTTCACGGGTTGGTCTGCTGTTGGGAGGGGAGGGATGACCCTGCAAGTCTCCACTTCACCTGTAGAGTGGATTCTCTTTCCAAATCTTGTCCCTGATAAATGAACCCGTGAAGATCCGGACTAGAATTAGTCTTCAGCAACCCATCCTTGTCGTAAGAGGCGACTAACAGGATCGGGCGGTCAGACTCATGTCGGACACATGTCATCGTGTCCCAATTGCGTAGATCGATGCTCCATTATATACAGACCGCCGCCATGTAGCTGGAATATTGCTGAGTGCGGCGTAACACTAAACTCACTCACCCAACTAAAAACATCCATACAACAGTCATTCAATATTTATTCAAAAATTAAAGTATATAAAAATAACAAGATTAAAGGTCATGTTAAATCCACGAATATTGAGTGGTGACTGTATTCTCTTCCCACAGAAGTTACTTGTCATATTTTCCTACGAACCTCTGTTCTAATACGGCCATATTTCCCGGTTCTCGTAAAATCCTCTAGCAGCAAAAAATCGCAACACGAACTATCTCCCTTCTTTCTATCCAATCAGAACAGGTGTTACATCGACTTAGATCCAACTTGATTGATACAAGCAAATGTGGGGCCACAAATATCTCTCCTCTGCCGGGGACTGGTGTTGATGTGACACACAAGACATTTAATGGCTAGCTTGTCCGTTGTCAACGAGGGCGATGGAGACGCCATTGATGCGCCATTACATGACTGAGTTCTGTCTAGGAGAAAAGTTTGCACATCGCGCAGGGGAAGAGGTTCTAGTTTTCCCGAAGCAAACGGAAATTACCGAGGCCTTGTGAATGATCAATTTTGAAACAACGTCGCTGATTGCACAACTAAATCTGATTACAACCAATATCGAATCCTGGAACACTCTCACAATGAAAGGGCCGTATTAGAACAGAGGTTCGTCGGAAGATATGACAAGTAACCTCTGTGGGAAGAGAATGTGGTGACTGCAGTTTGTAGATATTGTGACTATCTTGGAACGTTCTACAAAGAGCTCTGCAGCTTCCTCTTCATGAGCACATGTGTGAGGAACCATTCATTCCCGCCTTTATAGCCGAATACTTCTGAACAGAACATGAAGAACAGTCTCCAGTTGAACAGTTGCTGTTCGGCATCCTCGCCATATGATTGGCGGAGAATGCGCATGACGTTCTCTTTATTCTTGTCTGTCCGCTGGAGCCACGCTTCAAGGGTCTTAGTGTAATGCGTTCCATTGACCACCCACTGGTTGACCACTGTGACGTCATTCTGCAGGCAGAAATTGAGTGAGTGAGTAACAAAGGAGGCAGCTATAAAGTCATTTAAAACAAACGCATATAAACCAATTAAATCTCAACTGATTACAGCCTGGTCGCATGGCAGCAGTAACGCTGTGCAACGTGACCAACAAAAAGTCTGACTTTTTCACGTAAATTGTGTAAGTGAAGGCTACTTCCGGTAGAGCATGCGCAGGTTCTTTATGAAAACATCCGATGTCATCATCCCTTTTCAGTGACCAAGTCATGATTTCGACCACTATTTTGCCCTTTACGTCCACAATTATCAGTTTGGGGCAATAATCGAGTCATATGTTCTCTGGTGTTTATGTTAATATATGAGAAGAAAGTACACGGAAAATACATCGACTGTGCGTGCAAAGTGTCACGAACTATATATTCCATGATACCGTCGAAGGTACAATGCCTTAAAGTCTACTTTACTAGGTCGGTGGAATTAAAATGTAACTTCAGCTTACAGACAATTCTCGTTTAAGTTTTTAATTGACTTGACAGGCCAGTGAAATGGGTAATGCATTCAAAAGATATTCAAAGAATATTTGATAAACTATCGATCAATGACGGTACTGGATAATCCAGTGTATTACATACCAACGCTATCAAGATACACACACGGGTTACATTCCCAACCATAGCATCACTGAGAGACCGATTCCAGTGATCCATCACTAAAATTTGTCATCCAAACACGAGAGAGAGAGAGAGAGAGAGAGAGAGAGAGAGAGAGAGAGAGAGAGAGAGAGAGAGAGAGAGAGAGAGAGAGAGAGAGAGAGAGAGAGAGAGAGAGAGAGAGAGAGAGAGAGAGAGAGAGAGAGAGAGAGAGAGAAAAAAAGAAGTGTGTGCACGTTTGTGATATGACAGATAGAGATGCTTCGGTCACTTCTGAAACTTACAAAGTTGTGATGGCGAATACGTCCTGAGTATTGACCATAGCTGACTGGAGATACGCATAATAGGTAATCGATAATGACACAGATACATTAGACAATGGAAAATCTGATGGTAATAGAATCACCTTGTCACCTTGAGCAGTCTGGCAGGCCAGGAATCCACCAGAAGCATCTGGGTTTTTTTCACTGAAGAATTACAACGCAAATGCTCAAACCGTTTGGTAAACATATAAGCCTATAACGATGCAACCTCCTTTTCACTAAGGATTCTCACCTGGAAGTAGAGGAACAGGTCACGTGACGGCATGGTACCACCCGAGAAAAAGTTCTTGGCCATCCACTCTGTGTTAGAGCCATTGCTGGTGTCGAAGGCGTAGGGGTGATCCCTGTGGCAGAAGACTTGGACAAACAGGTAACCTGAGGGCTTCAGCCAAGACGACACGCGTTGGAACAGAACTCCGTAGTTCTTCATGTGCTGTAAGAATTGGGGGAGTGCATTACCGAGCGTCGTTGTATGTCGGCAATAATACTTTTAATAAACACGTCTAAACATGTGGTCTGAAAAGTCTGGACCAGACAATCCCCAGATTGACATGAGCATCGATCAATATACTCTGACATGAATCAAGCATGTCAGCGAGCGAGACTCGATGATTTCCGGATCATAGTCAAATACTTGGAGGGAGTGAGTTTAGTTTTACGCCGCTTTTTGCAATATTCCAGCAATATCACGGCGGGGGAAACCAGAAATGGGCTTCACACACTGTACCCACATGGGGAATCGAACCCGAGTTTTCGGCGTGACGAGCGACCGCTTTAACCACTAGGCTACCCCACCGCCCCTCAATACTTGAACAACTAAGACACGCATACCACAACACCCCAAACACAGTTTCCTATGTCAAGAAACACATTTCGTGACCAAATCGTTCTTCAGTTTAGAAACACATAAGTAGATATAAATTTCATTCTACAGCACAGACAATAGAAACTATGCTAAAACAACGCTATAATTAGCTAAAACAAAAGCCCATATCCCACATCCCACCAAAAACAAATCCCACATTTAATGCTAGAATTAGCAAAAACGGAGAGAGTACATTAACTTTGAATACCCAACATACCAATTGTTGTGACTCACTCTGAGTAAACCGTAATTCAAACATAGTGGAAAAAACATTCATAAAATTAATAACTTACTCGTTCAAATCATTCATTACCTTCTTAATGAAGGAGGCATTGTGTATCAATAAGCTTAATGAACCTGAGATGAGGGATTACTAGCTAAGTACTGTTGTGTGTGACTATTTTGAGTATCGGATGTGGGATGTGGGATTTATGCTCATTTGTTGCTTTCTTTTTGCTAATTCTAGCATTAAATGTGGGATTTTTGGGGTGTGGGATGTGGGACGTGGGATGTGGGCTTTTGTTTTAGCTAATTATAGCATTGCTTTAGCATAGTTGTAGCATAGTTTCTATTGTCTGTGCTGTAGAATGAAATTTATATCTACTCACATACTACAAACATTCCACAGATTATTTTCGTACCTCAAACATCTCTATGGAAACAATCCTGTCGTATTTCTTGGAGGTCATGTATTCATTAGCGTCTGCTGTGATGACCTCCAGTCTGTTTCTGTACCCTCTGTTCCGCACGTGCAGTGATCAGCGCCCTCTGGGTATTCGAGTTGGAAACACACGTGACCTTGCACCGAGGGAACTTCTCGCACACGAACAGGCCGAATGATCCCCAGCCACATCCAAGGTCCTGGTGTAAGATTTCAGGCAGTGAGTGAGTGAGTGGAGTTTAATGCCGTTTTGAACCGTTCTCCACGGCCTGTCAGCTTAGCGTTAAAAACAGATGTGATGCATGAACCAAACGTTTACACCATAGCTGAAAGTAGCAGCAGTGTATCGTATCAACAAACCAAGTATTTTAATCAGGTCAAAACAGGGAATGAACATGTATTGGATTCTGTCACGACTCAGGGACGTAAAGCAGGGGTGGAAATAACTTTAAAATTGCTAGTGTACTCCGGTACAGTGACACATGTAAAGTCACTTGCCCTGATTATTTTCCCACTATACCAACTTTTCTTGCTGATTTTTTAAGTAAACAACATAATAAACATTGGAAAGTCAACTGGACACCGGTACAGTGTGATATACAAATTTGCTTGCCCGACAGAAAAAAACACTGGACTCGGACGTCGGGCAATGGGTTATTTCCACCCCTGGTAAAGTCGAGGGGTGAATTCATGCTAATAATACGACTTGGCAACCCAAACCTAACAAACAATACTGCTACTATTTCGGAACACTCAGTTAACCCAGTTGTTATGATGCTTCCTTAATAGATAAAAGGTGCGACATTACTTTATCAGGCGTCCCCATCCTCGTACTTTAACTATCATGGTCCAGGGTACTTTATTACGCTATACATGGGGGTAGAGCGAAGTGTTTTTCTTAAATTACATTGTTGACTCCAACACCTCCAAATACAAGTGACTATAAATACCGTTTTATATGGAACTCAGGTGGAGACTGTGGATTACCGTTGTGGACCTTGGAAGACAATTGCAGTTATTCCATCACAACCACACTGACCCAGTAACAGAGGAAACGTGTAATATTTTTGACAACCTAAGTTGGGTAAACAACTGATGTTTTACCATAACTGTCTGTCCATCTTCAATCTTCGCCCGTTCACAGTACAAGGCCAGGGATGCTTCCTCAGCTTAAAATATAGTTCAGACAATACAAACATAATGGGAAATTCCTTTTAAAGTAATTTACTTTAATGTTTGATACACATATTTTTGTGAATGTGTTAAGTGACCCATTCGTTATGTGGCTATGTTATCGCCAACGCATCTTTAAGATTAATGCACTTATATATATATATATCAGTTTAGCTCACGGGTGGCCAAGGGGAGGTAAGTCCAAAAGGTTAATTCATTCATTAGTCGTGGAAGTTGGAACACTATCATTCTCTTGTGCGGTACTCAGCCCAGAAAAGGTAATTAGAACAACTTAAAAAGACACAGTGCCCTTCCCTTCAGACCAGATCCATTCCACTTACCTTGCTCGAGCGATGAGACTCCTTCCGGCCAGTAGCAGCTGCTGTACTTCAGTCGTGGACCCAAAGACTGGACATGGAAACAGAGACTACAGTAAATCTGGGATGGTCCGCAACCTCGACCCATGCTTATCGTAAGAGGCGACTAACGGGATGATCGGGTGGCCAGGCTCACTAACTTGTGACACGTGTCACCGTATCCCAAATGAGTCGATGCTCATGCTGTTGATCACTGGATTTTCTGGTCCAGAGTCGATTATTTACACACCACTGCCATATACAGCTGGGGAATTGCTGAGTGTGTTGTTAACATTAGCAACAAAATCAACAGGTTTAATGATATCATTCTCGTGGTTCTATAGGATGTGTCCAGAAACTGAATCTGTACACCTAATTGTTGGTTGCTGAAGATGCATTCATCGGGATTCCACCAATATTCCGGACCAGACAAACCAGTGACTGATGTTATGAACAACTTCTAACGCAATCTGGGCATACATTCAACCAAGTCATACAGCTTTCCGACCCAATGTATTTACCGCTTTCACGTCATTCACAGTCGCTAGGGACCTCTCTTGTCCGGAATCCCCACGTTCGGACATAAAGACCTTGACAAATAGTCCGGTTCCATAGAATTTAAAAAAGCCCACACAATCAGAATCATTTTAATAAATATCTTATGTTGTACGTTCAAAGGGCATTGTTCCCTAAATATAGACGAAATCATTGTCCATATAAATATGTCAAACACCGTTTTGTAAAGTTGAAGGGATCCAGCATTAAATCAAACTTTTTCAGTTGTTGCATTTCGAAAAAATAGAACAAAATAACACACAAAATGAAATGAAGAACTTAGAGTAGTATTGTATGGAATTGTCCACCTCGTTTTCTAAAAACAAAAGACCTAGGCTCTCACCGCAAGGAAGAATTCAGTGGGAACCTCATAGTGTTGTTCATTAGCTTTGTCTGTTTCTATGGCAACAGCTGATTTCCGGAGACGCTCAATGAAGCGTTTCTTGAAAAACATTTGGCGTTCAACATCACCTCCACACTCCAACTTCTCAATCCAAGCGCTGAGGCTCCCGCGAACACCTGACAGTGGGCAGAGTTAATTTATCAGTGTGATTATCGAAAACAAACCCAGGACTAAATACCGTAATGCATGAAGGCGGCGATTTAACATTACGTAACATGATTTTTACTTAATGTTTTAACAAATATCTTAGAAAAATCACAAAAAAACATGATCTTCCTAAAGCACACCGACACATGCCTCTGTGAAACTTTATTGTTGCTTAGATTGTTAATTATGTAACGAATATTACAGAATACAAGATATGATTTTGAACCATATGAACGTGTGGTTGCCATCTGGTGAAAGGTTTAGTCTTATTTGTTATATTTTGATATAATTACACAATACTAAGTATATGGGGAACGAAAAATCAACAACTTATTATTTCTTTTTAAATGTTTACCATTTTTAAAACATTTCCATTATTGTTTCAACATCATGGTCATATTTTCAAATTATGTTCATCCATGCAAAGAGAAATAAAATCATAGAAAGGGACGTAACTCGTATGGCACCAGAAACTCCAACAAACAACAATGCAAATCTTGCCTAACTGAATTACCATAGGCGGATCCAGAAGGGGTGGGTGGGTGCGCACCCCTTTCTTGTCCTTGAAAATTATATGAACGGTGCAGGTACTAGGGCTTCCACGGGTACTCGAGTACTCGAGGACGAGTCGGGTTTAGCTGGACTCGAGTCCATTTTCTAGGACTCGAGGACTCGAAAAGAGGAGATAACTCGAATTATTGGGTTACGTTGAGAGATAGTCTGTCTGCCATGTGTTAAGCATGAGCGGCCGTTAACGTCTGATATTAGATAAGATATAACTTTATTATCCCGAAGGAAATCTTATACATCCAAACTGTCTCAAAATGAATATGTACACAGTTCACAAAAATATACACAATAATTACATGCACAAAACGAAAGCTATTTAAAATAAAACTGACATGATATAATTCAATTAACCATCAAGGCAAAGAGGCTGAATAATTCTAGTTGTAATCACATGATGACAATTCAAAATATTTGTTGCATTCACGAATACTTGATAGTATGAAAGACTGTCGAGCTCTGTTCTGAGGGAAGGTAATCGACAGCAGCGTCCAGAAAGAAGTAGTTCAAAATTGTGAGATAAATGAGTTAACTATCAAATCTAATTTTAATTGCCTTTTTGACAGTCTGGCGCTCATAGATAAAGGGAATATACTCGAAAGACACTCAAGCAATTTTGCTGGCAGTATTAACCATTTTGAAAAATTTGTTTTTGTTGCGATCAGACAGAACCCCATACCAACATAGAAAATTGTAGCTCAACACACTTTGAATAAAGGTTTGATAAAAAACTGTCATTACGATAATAATGTTCAGAATGAGAAATTAGGCCAGTAACAGTGGCGTCATCTGCGAATTTCACAGTAAACAAGTCATTTATTGACAAGTAACAATCATTGGTATACAAAACGAAAAGTACGGATGAAGGAACAGCCCTGTGGAGCTCCAGTAGACGTTGGGAGAAAAGTAAATTGATAGCTATTGGCACTGACATACTGAGTTCTATGTACCCTGAATTCTTTAACCCATCTGATAATGTTTTTATTAACGCCTAGATTAAATAGTTTACCCCTCATAAGGTGTGTCTGTATGGTATTAGTTGTTACAAGTCAGCAGATGAGAGTAAATATTATGCATCGTGTGAGATTTCACTTCTTAAAATGATTAGGTAACTATCTTAATAGACATGGAAAACGTACGATAAAAAATCAAATGTATGGGCGTATCTTGATCTGGACAGTGAAAAGAGAAAAATAACCAAATGCCGCCTGTGCGGTATATCAATGGGTTATGCAGGCAGTACAACCAGTACGATGATAAAATACAACATTTGGCAAGTAAACATCCAAATACTGATTCTGACCAACAGGAAATGTTAGTCACACGACGATATAGTCGGAATGATGTAAGTGTTCACTTTGTGACGGAACACGTGATGCCGGTTACGTTATCGTTTGCTTGAAAGGTATGAATTTCGAGTACTCGGGTCCGAGTCGAGTCTCGCCCCTCGAGTACTCGAGCCCAAGAAAATGGACTCGTTGAAGCCCTAGCAGGTACTAAAGCGCTTTTGATAAAGAAAGTTTGAGACTCCCATCTCACTGTGGCTCGTTTTCACAGTTTTTGTTTCTATATAAACTACATATATTCAGAGACTAAGCGTTAGTCTATTTTTCGCCATGTGTTAGTTTTCTTACCGTTTCGCAGAACATCATCGCTGGCCATTCTGTAAGTTAGGGTCACTTCGACGGCTGGGTCAAAGTCTACCGCGGAACTAAGCTGGTTCCCGGCTCCCTTTGCGCGCGCTAACGTTCGACAAAGCTAGTATATTGCGATATGCGAGACGGGGCCCAGCTTACCGCGGAACGGACCAAAGTTTAAATGGAGTTACCTCCCATGGAAGATAAGCGGGGCCATTGAGTGACACCCGCTAAAAAAAACCCAATATGTCCACCACAGTAGTTTAAGATCCCTACATTGTTGCAAAACAACAGATTCAAAGTGGAATGAATATTTGCAATAAAATTAATAAAAGGTTAGGGATCTGAGGAAAAATAAGGAACGTCAACTTTTTTTAAAATGGTAGAAAAGCCACATGTGTTAAGAAATGTAAAATTAACAGCAAATCCATCAAAGTTAAATTAACCATACTGTGTATATTGGAATTGATTCTTCAAAACATCTCTCTCTCTTTTTTCTCTCTCTCGCTCTCTCTCTCTCTCAGTCTCTCTCTCTGACCTGTCACCCTAATATATAACAGTCGTGCAACCGAATAGCATGTGTGTCTCACTCCTGCACTGTGTACGTCTCCCCTCCCCCCCCCTCTCTCTCCCCCTGAACTATCTGAGCCGAACTGTGCCTCACCCTATGATTTTGCGCCCATTTAATTTCAATAGATGACACCTTCTGTCACAAGTGTTGATAAATGTGCACTTTTCATTCAAAATGCTTTAGTTGTGGCGGACTGTGTAGAACCTTTGTCTATAATAATAATAATAATTTAGCTCACCCGACCCATGTGGACTGTGTCAGGAACTGTGGCTGTCATGTCAACTTCCCATGTAGGAATCGGGTGCTCAGGCTCACTGACTTAGTTGGTGTTGGTGGTGGTGGTGGAATTGGGTTTAACACCGTGCTTGAGAATATTTCGCTTATATGACGACGTGCATGCGTGTGTATGTGTATGTGCGGCTGCTTGTACTAGCCCAGACTTAAACTGGTTTTATAGTGCTAGCCCACTGAGATACCATGCCGCAGTGAAGCATGAATACCCCACTCAGACACATTATACTGACTCCGAGCCGACCAGTCCTTGTGTTACCCATTAATGCCGAGCGCCAGGCGGGGACCAACAAGTACTATATTTTAACGTCTATTGGTATGACGTGGTCGGGGATCGAACCCGCGACCTTCCGCACTCCGGGCGGACGCTCTAACCACTACACCACGGAGGCGGTCGACTTAGTTGGACTCATATTGCCTGGTACGCTGTTCATATTATCAACCACTGGTTTGGTTTGAATTACTAGTAACTGGAACATTGCTGAGTGCACAGACAAGCAATTACAAAACGGCATCGCAGGTGAGACTGTCAGTATTGAGTCCGCAGAATAATAGCAAATCAATTACACATACTTTTGGTAAGAACTGATTCTCTGTTTAACCCATCATTAAACTGTAAACATTAGTAAGATAGATGCAGGTTGGGGTTGGGCTGGGAGTGTCAGAGGCAACGAACTAGAAGTGTCTTGTTTAGCACCCATGGGGTCTCTAGGCGGGATACATTGTACGTCACCTAATAATTTCACATAGGGCTTCAACGAGTCCATTTTCTTGGGCTCGAGTACTCGAGGGGCGAGACTCGACTCGGACCCGAGTACTCGAAATTCATACCTTTCAAGCAAACGATAACGTAACCGGCATCACGTGTTCCGTCACAAAGTGAACACTTACATCATTCCGACTATATCGTCGTGTGACTAACATTTCCTGTTGGTCAGAATCAGTATTTGGATGTTTACTTGCCAAATGTTGTATTTTATCATCGTACTGGTTGTACTGCCTGCATAACCCATTGATATACCGCACAGGCGGCATTTGGTTATTTTTCTCTTTTCACTGTCCAGATCAAGATACGCCCATACATTTGATTTTTTATCGTACGTTTTCCATGTCTATTAAGATAGTTACCTAATCATTTTAAGAAGTGAAATCTCACACGATGCATAATATTTACTCTCATCTGCTGACTTGTAACAACTAATACCATACAGACACACCTTATGAGGGGTAAACTATTTAATCTAGGCGTTAATAAAAACATTATCAGATGGGTTAAAGAATTCAGGGTACATAGAACTCAGTATGTCAGTGCCAATAGCTATCAATTTACTTTTCTCCCAACGTCTACTGGAGCTCCACAGGGCTGTTCCTTCATCCGTACTTTTCGTTTTGTATACCAATGATTGTTACTTGTCAATAAATGACTTGTTTACTGTGAAATTCGCAGATGACGCCACTGTTACTGGCCTAATTTCTCATTCTGAACATTATTATCGTAATGACAGTTTTTTTATCAAACCTTTATTCAAAGTGTGTTGAGCTACAATTTTCTATGTTGGTATGGGGTTCTGTCTGATCGCAACAAAAACAAATTTTTCAAAATGGTTAATACTGCCAGCAAAATTGCTTGAGTGTCTTTCGAGTATATTCCCTTTATCTATGAGCGCCAGACTGTCAAAAAGGCAATTAAAATTAGATTTGATAGTTAACTCATTTATCTCACAATTTTGAACTACTTCTTTCTGGACGCTGCTGTCGATTACCTTCCCTCAGAACAGAGCTCGACAGTCTTTCATACTATCAAGTATTCGTGAATGCAACAAATATTTTGAATTGTCATCATGTGATTACAACTAGAATTATTCAGCCTCTTTGCCTTGATGGTTAATTGAATTATATCATGTCAGTTTTATTTTAAATAGCTTTCGTTTTGTGCATGTAATTATTGTGTATATTTTTGTGAACTGTGTACATATTCATTTTGAGACAGTTTGGATGTATAAGATTTCCTTCGGGGATAATAAAGTTATATCTTATCTAATATCAGACGTTAACGGCCGCTCATGCTTAACACATGGCAGACAGACTATCTCTCAACGTAACCCAATAATTCGAGTTATCTCCTCTTTTCGAGTCCTCGAGTCCTAGAAAATGGACTCGAGTCCAGCTAAACCCGACTCGTCCTCGAGTACTCGAGTACCCGTGGAAGCCCTAATTTCACATCGGTCTGACTGTTTAAACAACATCACAGTTAAAATCTGGTATTGTTTTCATTCATAATTAGTTATCGGAATGTTTCGTTTTCTTTCCTAAACATGTCTGTACAAAATTAGCCAGGGGAGCTATAGGGTAAAACTGTTTGTGTTTATGCAAACAATCTAACGCTGAAACGCGTTGCTTCATGTTTTGTTGTCTATTCTGCCTGAAGGTGTCACGCAATACACATAAATTTAGCATAACATGTTTGGACTGCTTTTAATCATACTAAATCTCAACACTCTAGTCGGTATATTTCCTATCGACTCGACCTGAACGGGAACATACAAAGGTTAGCGTAGGTCTCAGTCAAACGAGTGCCCTCGTTTTGTTTACCGACAACCCAGTCACGTGATTGTAATATACAAATGATTGACAGTTAGGCCGCATCCCGCCCTTCCTGTACTTCAGCAAATATGTAACTTTAATGTCGCACCAATATGTAAACAATGGTCATATTCTATTACAAAACCTTACAGAGGAAAATCACGGGTGTGTTTTCACAATCAGTGTGACGTCACCTGTTATGTTAATATTGTGACACTTTGTCACCCGTTGAAATTGATATATTTTGATGCACCTCGGTGTAATATTCCATTGATGTTTGGACCTTATGATTATGAATGGATAGGTTATTTGCGAACATGATTCACAGATGTTGAAATAAAACCTGTCAGTTACGCTGATGTTTCAGATAACAAGTAGACCTGTGACCATTCATGTCATTCTTGGATACGGACGAATGTTGATAACTGATGATAATACTGGGAGCGTGTGTAACAAGGTCACCGTTATTTCATGTTACCAGTTGATAACCTGGGGCGGTGCGGTAGTCTAGTGGTTAAAGTGTTGGCTCGTCACGCCGAAGACCCGGGTTCGAATACCTACATGGGTACAATGTGTGAAGCCCATTTCTGGTGTTCCCCGCCGTGATGTTGCTGGAATATTGCTAAAAGCGGCGTAAAACCAAACTCAGTCAGTCAGTCAGTTGATAACCTAATGGAGTCAAATCAGACACAAATCCTAGCCCACCATGCAGGGCCCACTCGCACTAACCGATCTTAGCGCTAACTGATCGTATTTCCCATACTCCAACATAGGCTTAGGACGGTCTAAGCGGGATCGGGTGGTCAGGCTCGCTGGCTTGGTTGACACATGTCATCGGTTCCCATTTGCGTAGATCGATGCTCATGCTATTGATCACTGGATTGTCTGGTCCAGACTCGATTATTTACAGACCGCCGCCATATGGCTGGAATATTGCTGAGTGCGGTGTAAAACTAAACTCACTCACTCACTAAGACGGTCATAGCGGGATCGGGTGGTCAGGCTCGCTGGTTTGATTGACACATGTCATCGGTTCCCAATTGCGCAGATCGATGCTCATGCTGTTGATCACTGGATTGTCTGGTCCAGACTCGATTATTTACAGACCGCCGCCATACGGCTGGAATATTGCTGAGTGCGGCGTAAAACTAAACTCACTCACTCACTAAAACGGTCTTAGTGCTCAGATCGTTTTGTGCAAGTAGGCCCTGTACAATACGATCTCAGCATTACGCAACCCCTTATTTCAACCGTCTCAAAGCTACCTTCGTTTTCGCGAGTGGGAGTAAGGGAATTACAAACCTCCAATGAAAACTAATTGTGAGAACCCTTTCAGGTTGTTAGACTGTTTCGTTGACTGAAAATAATCACAATTGACATATTAATATAATCTATCATGCAAAATAGGGTAACTCTTATGTTTGATTACCCGTGAAGATCCGGGTTAGAATTGATCTTCAGTAACCTAAGCTAATAATCTTTATTATTATTATTATTATTATTATTATTGTCGTAAGAGGCGGGATCAGGATAGCTTACTTGGTTGACACATGTCATCGTATCCCAATTGCGTATATTGATGTTCATGCTGTTGATCACTTGATTGTCTGATCTAGCGTCGATTATTTCCAGACCGCCGCCATATAGCTGGAATATTGCTGAGTGCGGCGTAAAACTAAACTCACTCACTTATGTTTGATAAGGGAAAG